GTCAAATGTGTTTATGAATCTCCTAATCAAAGCTTAGCGCGAAGACATCACCTTCACTCCCACCAGAACTAATCGTTTCTTCGGATTTGTTGGTTCTGAGCAACATTACACACTACACCATTCTCTGTCCCATTCACCTCAGTTACACCATTCATTTAGTTTTTAAGTTAGTCTAGTTTTAATTTGTTTAGTAATAAATCTTTAAACCTTTAAACTTGACTCTCTCTTCTGTTGTCTCTGAATTAATACGAAGCTGTCATCTAATCCCTGCAATAAAAAGTTCCAATCTTCTGGTTAAACAGTACCCACAGATCCATAAGGTTGATTTCATATTTGCTATGGAATCTTATGTCTTATGGCTTATTAAATAACATGTAAATTAACTAATTACAATTCTTCAAAACTGCAGTAGTCACACCTCTTCTGAAGAAAACTGGCCTAGACCCCACAAACTTCAATAACCTACGCCCTATTTCCAATCTACCATTTATCTCCAAAATTCTTGAAAAATCTGTTGCCTCTCAACTTCACAACCACCTGGTCACCAATAACATCTATGGACAATTTCAATCTGGCTTCCGTCCTCCACAGCACTGAAACAGCACTTCTCAAAATCACCAACGACCTTCTCACTGCTTCTGACTCTGGTTTATTGTCCATTCTCATTTTCCGTAAACACAACATTCATTTTCATTGTTACGTGGATGACACCCAACTCTACCTCTCAGCCAAACCCTCAACTTCACTCCCACCCTCCTACCTTACCCTCTGTCTCAAAGAAATCCATTCTTGGTTCACTTCCAACTTCCTAAAACTGGACAGTTCTAAAACTGAAGTCCTCCTGGTTGGCACACATCATGTTCTCTCCAAATCTAACAGTTTCCCCATCTCTATTGATAACTCAGCTGTTACTCCCTCCCCTCATGTTAAGAGTCTGGGTGTCATCCTCGACAGCACACTTTCTTTTCAATCTCACATCAACAATAGGTCTGCTTATTTTCACTTGCGTAACATCTCCCGCCTCCATCCATCACTTACTCCCTCACCACTGCCATCCTTGTCCACATACTCGTCACATCCAGGATTGATTATTGCAACTCACTTCTCTTTGGTCTCCCAAGCAAATCCCTCCATAAACTGCAGCTTCTCCAGAATGCAGCAGCACGTGTCATCACTAGGACTTTATCATCTCATCACATCACCCCCATCCTGCAACAACTTCATTGGCTGCCCATTAAATAAAGAATCAGCTTCAAAAATTCTGCTCTTCACATTCAGAGCTCTTCATAACCTGGCTCCATCCTACATATCCAATCCCATTCACATCATCACTCCTGTCCACGCTCTTCATTCCTTTTCTGCTCCTCAACTTTCAGCTCCCCCTGCTCGCCTTGTCACCATGGGGAGTAGAGCATTCAGCCACTCTGCTCCCCACCTCTGGAAGTTTCTTCCCCCGATCTATGCACCACTCACTTTTTAAATCAAAACTCAAAACCCACCGCTTCACACAAGCTTTTTCCACATAGTTTTAAACACAATGTTTTGAAATTTTAAAATCTTGGTGTTTTTACTTATTTCTGTAGTGTTTATCTTGTTTTATTTATTTATTTTCCCCCATGGTTGTAAAGTGTCCTTGGGTGTCCTGAAAGGTGCTGTTAAATTATTATTATTATTATCATTATTATTATCATTATTATTATTATTATTATTATTATTATTATTATTATTATTATTATTATTATTATTATTATTATTATTAGTATACTTCACAGGTGTGTTTGCTTACATGTTTCAGATGTGGGCAATCCATGTTATTGTAAAAGAAGTTAATTTACATCTAATTAAGGACCCGTGAGACATTAAGATTTCATAGCGAATATGAAATCAATCTTATGGACCACTGAGTTATTTAACCAGAAGATTGGAACTTTTTATTGCAGGGATTTTGTAACACTTTGTATTAACTGAGAGACAAGAGAACAATCAGACCTTTAAAATGTTTAAGATGATTCATTTCTAAACAATTTAAACAAATTTAAACAAGACTAACTCTACTCTAATGATGGATGGATCTGGTGTGAATGAGATGTGAGATGAACGGTGTGTGTGAGTGGTGTTATTATCAGAACTCTCGTATCCGGAGAAGCAAGTCTGAATGTTGTAATGATGTTTTACTTCTAGCTACGATCAGAGTTTGACCGGAGTTTCATAAACACATGAGATGCCATATTTGTCGCTCCACACATACCCTTGATGAGACACCCGTACAGATCCCGAATGCCAGGTCCTCGGACCCTCCTTTCGGTACAGGAGCCGGCGGAACAGCGTCAGCAGTACGACAAACTAGTCTTTGGATCGTCTCCAGGTAAAAAGCGACAGGTGGTTCACAGCGTCAAAAGGGACCCTCCTTGGGTCAGTGAGTTCAGCTTTTATTCTGAAAGGAACCGTTGCTTGATTGGTAAAATGCAACAGATTTTATCCAGCTTGGTGGTTCTCAGCTTAAAAAGGAAGTCCGGATGGCCAGTCCAGTTACTTCGCTTAGCATGCGATGAACTCCAGTGAGATCTTGAGAACTGAACTAAGATGGCATTGGAACTGGTTTTATTAATCTGAATGTTTTGATTTCTGGTCGAATCAAAGTTGGCAGATTTATAAACACCACAGAGACTATGCCACACTTCAGAAAGGAAGGCTCTGATTGGATCAGTAACAGCAATGTGTCATGCATTTACATTACGTGTATCAGCTTGTCTAGTGAACTAGATTAAAGTCATTTACTTATTAAAGCATAGTAATCATACCATTGTTATTTCACAGATCAGTCAACATTGTATTATTGACTAACACTTGTTTTGATTAGCTTTATTAAAAATAGAGTTCTTTGATTTATTAAAAGAAAAGAGTCTTTTATCTTCTTTCTTCTCTTGCTGGAAAGAAAACAGTTTTAGAAGCAAATGCATGACCTTGAGGCAGTCTCATGCTCAAGAATACTGTGTCAGAGGCATCTGTGGAGAGAGGTTAATTAACATTGGAGGAATAGCTCCTTCATCACATTACATTATGATCTGCAAAAAAAAACTTGATAAAGGAGTAAACAAGTAGCACTGAACTCCCAAACTTTCTATGTGTTGGACGCGCCCTCCAGCTGGCAGGTAATGAGGAGCTTTCGGTTGTCCATCCTTAGAGCAGGACTTCAGCACTGCGGACAGCGCCTGTTTCGGTTGCCAATCGCCCCTTTTTTTCAACACCATGGACAGCAGAACACTGAGGTTGGGCTTCAACCCCGGTGCAGCTGTTCAGAGCTTCCCTAATAACAGCTAAGGAGTGGTGCTCGTAGCGGTTACCTGCTGCTCAGGGAGATCAGATCTGTGCTGACATCCCCAAATTGATCCATGCAGGAATTACCAGTGATCTTGTTAGTCTCTTAGATCTTGACAGTGTAACAGTGCTATATAAATACACGTACAGTAGAATTGATTTGATTCAATAAGCTACATGCTTTTGATGAGAATTTGTGTGCAGTTACCATGTAAATAGCATTAGCGCTTAGATAGTTTGTTTAAGTAGCTTTGATTACTTTGTTTCATTTGCAGTTTAACTTTTTGTTTTGTCTGTAGTACTACTTGAAGTCCCTTAGGTACATGGAAAAGTGTTACCGTGCAGATCACGTGTCACCATCTCCAGTGCTCGAGGGCTAACATCCTGCTAGTTTTCTGCACACTAATGAATGGAGTAATTTAATCTTCTCCTTAACTTTGCATTGACGTGTTAATTGCTCATTCATCTCAATCAGGTGTGTAAGAGCAAATAAACAGCCAGCATAGGCAGGATGGTCGCTGTCGAGGACCGGAGTTGGTGCCCCCTGGTGTAGATTGCATCTCATATTGGGTTAATGGGATTTGGTGGAGCATTTTTCCACTCTTTTGGTTTTACAGTTGATCACAATCCCTAGCATCCCCTAGGTTAGTTTCAGTTATTTGTTGTTCGTTTAACCCAGAGGCTTCTTGTGTTAAATATCTTACGCATTTGTGTTTTAAACCATATATAAATATTTCTCTTTTCCCCATTTCCATTATACACCATGTGTCATGATTTGAGACACTTGTCTGACCCACATGAAGATAGAAACTGTCAGGAAATAAGAAAACTTGTTTTAAATCAGTTTATTAAGACGAGGTGGAGTGATGACTTAAACCATGAGACATCCGGGACCGGGAGACAAACCAGAACATGATGGGTGGAGTGTAGCATGAGTGTGTGTGTGTGTTGGGGGGGGGGGGGGGGGGGATTAGTCAATGAATAAGACACAAATTTATTTGGGTTGCAAATAATTCTTCACAAGAATCAAACAAAGGTTTACGAGAATAAAAGCTGAAGATTGCCACTTAGGGAAACACTCTAGAGGTGAATGACTGGCTCTCCACTCCATTTGTCCTGGCGTCTGCTGATTGAATGAGCTTCAGGTGCATGAGAAGACACACCTACAGCAGTCACTCATCAGGAAGCTGAGGAGAGTCTTGAAAGAGCCCACCTGGTGAACCAACACCTTGGCTCCTGACACTGTGGTTAAAACAATTCCCTTGTTCTTTTTGACATAGCTGCACACGTCTTCTTCATGTTGCACCCTCCTTCACATTCTTACATCTGGGTTGTGGCATCAATATTGGCGACAACATCACCAACCAATAAACAACTTCAACAAGAAGCACATGTTGTATCATTGAATAAGTGCACTAGCATTACTTCATATTGGAACTCAGTACTGGCAAATACTCAACTGTAAATACTCACTCTTAATTTAGAAAAAAAAATGTTTCATGTATGACAGCACAACACCAGCTACTGAAACAATAGACCACCCTATTGTTACAACCCCAGGCTCCACCCAGCTGCTGCCCATCAAGCTAATCAGCTGCTGCTGCTACTTAAGGAGCTGCTGAACTCTCATTCAGGGAGGGTATGTAGAGTTGGAAGGAGGTTTTGTAGACAGCAAAGAGCAGAGCAGAGCAGAGCAGAGCAGACCTTTAAGTTGGAAGCCCACTGTGCCCCTTTTGGTTTGTACCTTTTGTTTTTTGGTTTTTGCTCTATTAAGGAGAGGTTAATTTTGTCTTGTTGAGGTTTATAGTCGTTTGCTCGTTTTAGAAATGAGTCGCTATAAGTTAAGGCCTGTTTGTTAAAGTTGGAGCCCCTTTAGTTAAAGGCCTTTAACTGTACCTGTTTTAATACATTGTAGGATAGTTTCCTCTCTTAGGCCTAGTCCACAAGTAGCTGTTTTTTTTAAACGAATATCCGCCCCTCCAAAAACTTGCATCCACACCACCTCGTTTAAAAAAAAAACTCTGTCCACACGTTCCTGTTGTGTGATGGGGTGAGTACTCCCTCTTCTCCACAACATCTTTGTAAGACTGTCATTCCAGGAGAGGGCACTCACCAGCTGTGGGACATTACCGATCAGCGGCAGCTGCAGATCCTCTAATCAACCGCAGCAGAGCTCTATTTAAGAGGAGAGGGAACCACTTCACATGGCTGGATGATTAACTACTCACTGTAGAATCTTGCCACTCAGTACTAGGTTTTACTTGGTCTCTGCTCAGACATTTGTGCTGTCACAGTTTTTGGATTTATCTGGTTTTTTGTGCTTGGATTTTTTGGTGTTTGGACTCAAGTCTGTTTCATCTTCAGGATACTTGGAATCGCTGAACCACAGATGGATGTACCTACCTGGAAGTCACCATAACCCGCCTGGATTACACACTCAAGGTTCACCTCTCCTCCAGCTTCACTTGCCCTCTGCCGCCATCATCTGGCTCCCTCTCCTGGACGTACCCCGTCACACCGTTTGCCCTCCCTGCTGGCTTTTGGACTCTTGCCGACTACTTCACACTTGGATATCTCCAGGACACTTTTAGTTAGGGTTAATAAATCATTGTTTGAACTTTCTGCCTTTGTCCTGTGATGGTTCTTCATGTCGTGGGTTAAACACCTTCCCAGGAACATGACAGTTCCCGGATAAATACGTTGTTAAGGACATGCCAGACCTGTAGTTTTCAAAGTTTTCCCACCAACTGGCAGTCGTTCCCGGTCTGACCCAGAACCTGCGTTGGTGTCTTTGCCAAAAAACCTGCCTTGGACGTGGAGAAGCCAGGTGCAGGGCAATAGCCGTTCTTAACCTCGTCCTTCGTCTGTGGTCTTCTGCAAGGAGCAATAATTCCGCTTGCAAAAACAAACAAGCAAAAAGCGCTTGGACAATTGATAAAGCAAGCGCAGCTCTGAGGGCATCCATACTGTCGGCATTTTTTGTCGCGGAAAGTGACGTTGCGGACCTTAAAACTCCGGTCTTGTCTGTCCACACACAGACACCCAAAACGGAGAAAACGCAGATCTTCACTTTTGCTGGAGTTTCTAAAAAGATCCGTTTTTGTGTGAAAAAAACCTCCCTTTCGTGTGGATGACAGGCCAAAACGTAGAAAAATATCTACGTTTTGGCAGATCCCCAGCTACGTGTGGACAGGGCCTTAGTGGTGACCCCTGTGTTTGTAAGTTTTGGAGAAGAAAGCTAAGTCCAATTAGGACCTGTGTAAACATTTTTGGGTTGTGGTACAGTTACCCCAGTGACACTTCCAAAACCATACAATTAGCAAACTCCAGTCAGTTTTATCACAGAAGAGTAAGTATTGGACATCCCTCTGAGAACCTCCTAGATTATTATTACTCATCACATGGAAGCACTGGACTCCTAGCTGTTTCATTGTTTTTGGCAAATGTGTTTATATTCAGACTGATCATTAGGAGTCATTATAGGTATTTGTGATAGCATGCAGGTATTGACGTTACACCTGGCGTTGTGTGCTCAGAATGATTGTTTAAGGCATGTTTATGGAGTTCCAAGTGTGTTCCTCAGACAGGCCCTGTCTTGGATTGTCACTGGGTTCCAGCCTGTTGTAGGAATCTGCTTATACAGTCTCACTTGCGCTAGTTTAGCGTCAAATTCCAATTAAGTTTTGATCATTCAGTCAAGGCAGCATCTTAAGGTTTCAGTTCATTTGTACATTTTTTAATTTCTCTCTGATGCACCTGTTACAGGCTCTAGACGATTCTTGTTGCTGAATCAGACCTGTAGGTGGCAGTATCTGCGGTAAGGCATTTCCTGTTTTCAGTGTTGCATTACGTGTAGCTGTTCGGTGTTTTTGGCTCACTAAAATTGATAAAATTTCTCTGTACTAGGATATCTCTGAGTTATTGTAGCACATAAGCACACTAAAACACACATTTTCTGTTGTTCCACCTAGCTTTTAGGGAACCATTTTAGTTTACACGCAGTTTATTTGGTGTTGAACGGGTTGCTCGCCCAGTTAGCTTAGCCTCAGCATGGCTACTTCTGTCTCTGCTTCTCCATCTCCTATCTCTTGCACTCTTTGTCAGACGTTTAGTTACTCCTCTGCCTCCTTTAGTGATAATGGTACGTGTAATAAATGTAGCATTTTTGTAGCATTGGAGGCGAGAGTGTCGGAATTGAAGGCCCGGCCCTGCACTGTTGAAAAGCCCATAAACAGCCGTAGCTACTTGGCTAGCGTGGAGCTAACTAGATCAGAACCACCCCGTAGCTGTCCTCCAGTAGCCGGGACCTCAGGCCAGCTGGTTGACGGTACGTAGGAAGCATAGAATCCAGCCCATGGGACACCACCAACCCGTCCATGTTTCTAATAGATTTTCCCCGCTCAGTCACGCACCCACTGACAAGCCGACTCTTCTCATTGGCAGCTCCATAGTCAGAAACGTGGCATGAGAGACTCCAGCAACCATAGTTAAATGTTTACCTGGGGCCAGAGCAGGTGACATTAAATCTTATCTGAAACTGCGGGCTAAGGATAAGCGTAAATACAGTAAGATTGGTATTCACGCTGGCTGTAACGACAGCCGGTGACACCAATTGGAGGTCACTAAAATTAATGTTGCTTCGGTGTGTAAGTTTGCCAAAACAATGTTGGACTCCGTAATTTTCCCTGCCTGATTGGACCAGTGACGACATGTTTAGCCACATGCTGTCCTTCAACCGCTGGTTGTCTAGGTGGTGTCCTGAAAACAACGTGGGCTACATTGATAATTGGAAAACTTTTTGGGGAAAACTGAAAAACAACAACAGAAGAAAACTGGTGATTTTAAGCATTTTCAAGCATTTTTAAATCATGGGTCCAAATGGACAACACAATACAAGGGTTAATCATAGATTCGCTAGGATTAATACAATAAAGTTTCTCTCACCAAATAGGATATTTACTAAGAAATTACAATGTAACCACAGAAACATTAGTGTGTGTGTGTGTGCGTGTGCGCGTGCGTGTGCTTTGTCTTCTCCATCCCCATTGAGTCGTGGTGGATGGCTGCTTATACTGATCCAGGATCCTCTGGCGGTTTCTTCCTGTTAAAAAGGAGTTTTCCTCTCCACAGTCGCTAAATGCTTGTTTAATATGAGGATTGCTGTAAAGACTCTGACACTAGTCACTAACTTGATGCAATTTGTTGGGTTCCTTGTATAGGAAATTTTTCAATGATTGGCTTAATGAACTGACCTGTATTGGAATGTTTACCGTGTGAAGTGCCTTGAGACGACTTTTGTGGTGATTTGGTGCTATATTAAAAAAATAATAATAAAAAAGTGAGCCACATCAGAGCTGAGCATATGTACAGCAGGATTTGGAGTTTTATTTCCTGATATTTGGACATCTTTCCTCTGATTGGATAACAGCAAAGCAACTCTACCACTGACCGTTTGCTTTGTAACATTGTTTCATCTCCACAAATAACAAGCCTGAAGGTGTTCTGCTGTGTGGTGGAGCTGCTAATGATAACTGTTAGCTTCTATTAGCTGATGCATTCTCTGCTCTTTCCTGGATCATCACATCCCCATCACTTATAATAATTAGCTTGTGTGGATTTTTAATATACCCACAGAATAAGTTTAGATAAAGTAACCACTGGTGAGTCCAACATGTAGAACTTTAATAAAAAACTGGTGCCTTCCTCCAGAGTGACTCTGACTGGTTTTGTTTCCATCTATCTCCTTTAAAAGTTTGGAACTCCTCCTGGTTTAAAATGTCGAGTTTGGTTTTGCTCCTCCTGCCTGTTAGCTGCCAATAAACTCGTAGACACCTTGCTGTGGGTGGACTCTAATTCCCGTTGTGTGGAGCCCTGATTCTTGTTACAGCCTGCTTGTCCGGTCAAGCCCAAGCTGATTGTCCCTTAATAAGAAACAGTCACAGGAGCTAAAGCAGCATTGTTCATCTGAATCATCCAATTTGCACCAGATTCATCTTAATTCAGCAGCACTTGTAGCTCTGGATTAGAGATTTAGCTGCTACAAAGCTTAAAGTCTCAGACCACATTGATTGATTGAGGAACATGTCTGGGGAAGAAAACCAAGCTCATTTGGAGTTTTTACACCATGTCCGTGTTACCAGTGGGCTTCAGCAGCACAATGCACCACAGAGACATAAACATGAGGTCAGGTGAAAGCCTGACTGAGGTCATGGGTTTAAGGAGGGGCTGTTTTCAAAAACGTAAACAAAACTACTTCAGTTAACCCTCTCAGGCTCAAAATAAGTTTTGATAAAAGGACGAACAACTAAGTCCTTCAGGAGTACTTCTGAGTTAAAACATGCTAATGAAATAGGTATGTGGAGTCTCATTTATCAAACATTGTGTAGAATCCTTACTAAAACCATACTTAAGCTCAGCAAAATAAATGTACTTACGCCAAGCAGGTTTGTGATCTATCAAACATGGAGTATGCACAGCTGCACACAATCTCCGCTTCATAAATCAGAAACTATCTAGAAAGTTTCTGAGCTGCTTTTTAGTCACATCCCACCCTCACCACACCCACTTACTGCCATAAATAGTCAATGCAAAGTGCCTTGTGGACCTCATGCATTTACATAAGCCGGCTCGTTGCAGCATTTCGATCACGACCGCAGATCAAGGAAGCGCTATTTCACAAGCAGAAATGCAGTTACTTGTGGGTGAGGTGGAGAAATGAAAGGAAGTGCTTTTGCAAAACAAATAAAAGAAAATCCAAGGAGTGACACAGCGTTGCTGAAGCCATCAATGCTGAATTCTTCAGAGAGATCTGTGGCGGGTATAAAAAAAATGATCCAATCAGGATTTGATCCCCAGACTCTCTGGTGAAAGTCACGCATGCTAACCAGTCAGCCAAATGGAGATCTCCCTTGTCTGAGTAGCCAAGGTGCATCATCAATCGGGTCCCAGTGACAGGACGTTCACACACTCACAGACGGATGACATTCTGTCTCAATCTGTACCCCTGCTGATTTTCTGCATTCGTATTCTGTGCTTCATGCTGTGTGTGTGTGTGTGTGTGCGCACACGTGTGTGTGTGTATGCGCACGCATGTGTGTGCGTGTGGGGGTCTTGTTCTGTGTGAAAATGAAGCAGTACAAGTGATAATGCTGCAGGATTTCATAATTTTATCCTTCTCAGCTGCAGCACTACAGGTGCTCTCCATGTCCAAAATGTGTGTAAGCCAGGTCCTTAGTCAACTTAGAGTTGCACACATTTTCCCGCTAATCTAAGGAGCTTTGAAAGAAAAGCGTCTGGACTTCTTTGAGTTGCTTGAAGAAGTTTCACCTCTCATCCGAGAGGCTTCTTCAGTTCTAAGGTCAAATGGTGGAGAGTCCCAGATTCAAACCCAGTGGGAGTTTCCCCCCGAAGAGGGAACAAAAGACCCCCTGATGATCTTCTACATAAACACATGAGCCAAGGTGTGAGGGTGGGTGTGGGTCCTATTCAGCCAGAGTTTCGGGTGAGCTCATTGTGAAGCCTGGCCCCACCCTATCATGTGAATTCCTGAGGTCAGATGGCCCAGGATATGCGTGGGCGTAGGAGTGGGTGGAGCTATGTATTCTTTGGGTAAAACCAATTGA